AGGGAGGGTGGGGATGGTCAGGGATGGGGGTATCATTAGGAGAATAAGAATTTGTCCAGCCTAATTCCTTGTTTGGTTGATGTTTGGGAAGGGCAATAGGTGCAAATAATAATCTATTGCTCCAAGCAAAAAGCTGGTGTGCTTCTAATCATTTCTAATCTTGAGAAAGCATCTTACTCTATACCCCAGCCAGCACAGCCTTCCTTCGCTCTGACCATACTCTTCACTAAAACTTTTGGAGTGTAATTCTATACTTAGGATATGATAGTCACAGACCCCTCCGTTGATTTCTTTGAGGTCCTTTCAATATTTGAACCAGATGTTTGGATTTGGGTAACACAAACAGCTACGTATATGCTGACACATTCGTCCTTGGAACGAGCTCTACTTGATATTTTCTTGAACTGAATAGTCGTGAGTCGAGATGGTTATCTTTAGCCTTCTAAAATTTTCACATATTTCTTTATGATTTTCGTCTTTAACATTTATTACTTTGTGTGTTGATATACCTATTAATTTCAGTATTTTCAATTGTTTCTGCAGGTGGGAGTAAAATCGTAAAGGAAGGATCAAAGGATCAATCGCCTTCACGTCCTAGACTTGACAAACAAGAAATTACTGTTATGATGGAGGAGATGCAAGCAAAGATGGAGAAACTTCAGGATGACATGAATAGCATGAAGCAGCAAAATGAGGTGTCAGCTAAGTGTGCCAATGGATTGGATTCCTTAGAGTTCTCTGATGAGCCTATCAAGAGTTCAACGCCTGCAAAATCTAATGGAAAAAAGGTTTTCATTCGTTCTCGGCTGTAGAAAGCAGTACAATCTTGGCAGTGAGGAATCTTCGCTTAACATATAGGTTCCACTCTGTAATTTTCATGTGATTTGCATTGTATCTGTATAATACATGTATTTTTTTGGTCAACATATAATACGTGTATTAATATCTAAACAATTCAGATGTGCCAACCACAGTGCCCGCTCCACTTCCCAACCAATCAGACATCCTGGGGTGTGCTGATGTTGTGCTCTCAAGTGTTTGGTTGCTTAACACCATATAACAACTCAATCAAACACCATATTAGTATTTATTTGTTCGACGTATCTCAAGTATAAGTGAAAACTAAAAATTCTGGTACTATCTTGTTTTTCGATTTATAAAGTAGATCAATACATAAAGTTCCCTTAGGCATGCAATCATTATATCAAACCATATTCCCGTCTTGTAAAATTTAGACGAAGGTTCCAAATAACTGAGAACGAACATATATTATTGTCGTAGTTAACTAATGGTAGGCTAGAATCACGTGTTTTAGTCATAGTTTTCACTCAAATTACTGCATTTTACTTGTGTTTGAGCTTGAATGTAAGTGTATTGCACTTATTATGTGTTTTATGCTTTGTAGGAGATGATTCCGAGTTAAGAAGATGTTCTGGAGCTAAATCGAATAATTTGGAGCTGTGAAGTCTGAGTAAAAGCCCAAAAAATTAAATCGGGATCGCGTCCGGGGCTCGTGGACCGGCGTTGCATACGAAAGTTGGAAGAAAGATCAAGGGCTAGAGCAAAATGTACTAGTGTATCGCATAAGGTGTGGCATTAAGCGTCGCATTAGTACAAAATTTCGTCCGAAGTTTGAGAAGTTGAGAGACTTGGAGTTTTTGGGTCTGACAGAAAAATACACTAATGCTAGGCATAGTGCGCGGCATAGTGCGTGACATCAGTACAAAATTATGTCAGACAAGCTAAGTTCAGAGAGTTTACAACCGAGCAAAATACACTAATGCTACACACCCTGTGTAGCATAGTGTGACGCATGAAGTGTAAAAAGTTTGTAGGTTTTCCCACTTCGGCTCAAAGAGGGTAGTTTCGTCCGGGTTCGTTCCTACTTGGTATAAATACACCAGAAACACATTTTTAGGGGACTTTTGACATACTTTCGACTTAATGAAGCTAAGGGGGGAGTTGAAAGAACACAAGCACGGGGATTTCATCATTCCTTCCTCACTCAAGACTCGAGTTTGGATCGAATCTATATTTTTCTATATTTTAATTATATTTATGATGAATTTCTCCATGTCTATGGAGTAGTTCCCTTTAGGGTTTGATGGATTTGGTGTGTTGATGATTGTTTGTAGATTATAACTCTAGTTTTATGTATTGAATCGTTTTGGAAGATTTAATTATTGCATCTATATTCACTAGTTCATGTAATCGAGAGAGGCATAACTTGTTATATCTTTGCATTATATTGTTGGTTGAGTTCATAGATTCTTCTAAGTAATCGAAAGAAGCTAGTTGAATCATTGATTAAACCTAGTTAGGAGAATAATCGAAAGAGGTTTCTTAATGACCAATCCACTACGCATTCTTGCATATCTTCACCGTGCTTAATTTGGTTCATCTCGTGAAGTTAAGACTTAATCGAGAGAGGAGTTTCTGCCGAACGTTTGAACTAATAATTGAGTGAATTCGAGAAACTCACTTGAACATTATAAGTGAATAATCTAGAGTTAGAGCCCGAACAATTATCTTGCACCTATCCTGTCAAAACCCTATCTTCTCCCGCTGATAACCTTATTTGCTTATTCCCTGCCTCTATAATCACTAGTCAATAGCTTTAGATTCTTAGTTAATTTAATTATTAATCGTATATATCTCAATTGTTGATCCTCTTGGATAGCAATCAAGCTAGAGACTACGAGAATACTGTTTAAATCCAATCCATGTGGATACGATATTATACTATATTATCTTCAATTAGCGAGCATAATTTAAGTGTGTGTTTTACGCTTGTCTGATTTTGGCGTTGTTACCGGGGATTGACAATCAATAGTGTTCAAATTAGTTTTTGGTGCTAATTCGGGATTTTTTTAAAATTATTTTTCACGTGTTTCCTCTTCCGTGTGCAGGCAACAAATTGACTTCTCTGGTGTATGACTCAATCGTCTTCAAGGGAATTGATTCCATACAATCTAGAGGTAGAAAAGAGTCTGCAATAGTTGAGGAAAGAGAAAGAACTTACTAGAAAATTTTTGGGGCAACCTTCAACCCTAGAACATATGGCTAAAGACGGTGAAGACGAAGTAGATCTAGCTGCAAGAGAGGCAGCACAACAGAGACAAGAGGATGCACAGATAGTAGCTGAGGCAGCCCGTAGAGCTGCTGAGGAGACCGTCAACGATGATGGGGGTTGAAGATTCAATCTAAATCGACCCTTAATTGAAGACCAATTTGAGACTGCTATACCCAGGCTTGGTAGAGCATTAGGTGATTATGCCAGACCAATCTACAATCAGGGACTGTCCAGTGTCATACCTCCACCAGTAGCAGCGAATAATTCCGAGTTGAAGCAAGGCTTACTTCAAACTATCCAAAACAACTGCATTTTCGGAGGGAAGGTGAACGAAGATCCTAATACTCACTTGATGGACTTTGAAGAAATCATGAACACCTTCCAATACAATGGAGTATCAAAGGATGCAGTCTACTTAAGGGTATTCCTCTTTTCACTGAAGGATGACGTGAAGCACTGGCTTCGTAGCTTACCAACGGGGTCAATCAGAACATGGGAAGATATGACTAGAAAGTTTATTGACAAATACTTCTCTGCTGCAAAAACAATGAAATTCAGAAGGGAGATTCACAGCTTCTGCCAGACTGACACTAAAACAGTTTTTGAGGCTTGAAAAAGATTCAAGGAGATAGTGAGGAAGTGTCAGCATAATAGGATTGAATTGTGGATGCATCTCCAGGACTTTTGGGATGGACTGACACTTCCCTCACGACGAACTCTGAACACTGCAATTGGAAGACCTTTAATGAAGAAGACTCCTGAGGAGATTGTGGCAATTCTTGATGAGCTCTCTAAAGATGCTAACTAGTGGCCTACTAAGAGTAATGATAAAAGAAAAGCAGTTGGGGTTCATCAAGTAGATTCTAACACAGGAGTGCAAGCCCAACTAGACGCCATGGCAAAATAGATAAGAAAGTTGATCTCATCCAAGGTCCAGAGCCAATCATCACCAATTTGTGATTTCTGTGGAATGGGTCATCCAACGCATGAGTGTCATGTTGTAGCTACAGATGAAGTGGTAAATGTTGTAGGGAGCTTTGATAGAGGCAATTACTAGAGTGGCAATAATTTTAATCCTATGGGATAGAGGCACCCAGGCTTTTCTTGAAATTCACCAAGTGGTAGCCTGAACTCATGGCAGCAGAATAACTCCATACCCCAAGGGCAGGGAGCTCAAGGTTTTCAAAATAAGCAGAGACAACAATATCAGCCTCCACAGTCCAAGCAGTCTAGCATGGAAGAGCTGATGAATGCCTTTATTATTAAGACATATGAGAGGCTTGACGCCCATGGTGCAGCTATCAAAGAACTGGGCACATCTTTTCGAAACCTGGAAAGATAAGTTGAGCAACTAGATATTCTAATGTCTGAGAGGGTCTCGGGAGTGCTCCCGGCTGATACAGAAAGAAATCACAAAGAAACAGTGAATGCTGTAACTTTGAAAAGTGGGCAAGTGTTGAAAGATCTCACCCCAATCCAAAAAGATATGAAACTTGAAAAAGAAAATGGGGAGAAACTGAAAATTGATGTTGATAAGAAGAAGAAAGGCCAGATAGAAGCTGAGAAAAAAAGAAGGAAGAAAACTCGGGAAGGGAGGAACCTGAGGAGAGTGAGCATATGCCTGCTCTACCTTTTCCCCAAAAGCTAAAAAGAGAAAAGCTAGGCAAGCAATTTGAAAGATTTTTGGATGTACTGAAACAGGTTCATGTAAACTTACCATTCACAGAAGTTCTCTCACAGATGCCTGCTTATGTTAAATTCTTGAAAGAGATCCTTACGAAAAAGAGGAAAATAGAGGAGACCTCGGTGGTCAAGCTCATAGAGCATTGCAGCACGATATTACAAAATAAACTCCCACAAAAGTGTGAAGATCCAGGGAGTTTTATTAAACCTTGCTCTTTAGGAACTATTAATTTTGATAAATCCTTATGTGATTCTGGTGCTTCAATTAATTTAATGCCTCTAACTATCTACATGAAACTGGAGAAGGAGATTGGAGAGATAAGGTCTGGACCCATATCTTTGCGGCTGACTGGCCAAACGACAATAACACCCGAGTGGATAGTGGAAGATGTGTTAGTTCGGATGGATAAGTTCGTATTTCCTATGGATTTTATAGTAGTAAATAATTAAGAAATAAAGGAGGTCCCCCTCATCCTAGGAAGACCATTCTTAGCGACGAGTAGAGCTATATTAGATATACACGAGAGAAAACTCGTGCTTAGAGTGGGTGAGGAGACTATGACTTTTAATATGGACGTAGCAAAGGGGGCACAAAAGGACAACCCAGTTGCGAGTATTGTATGGAAAGTAAAGGGCTCGAAAGAGAAGGTTGCAGTGAGCGAGAAAGATAAGTGTGGGGTGTACCCAAAGAAGGCCGAGAAAAAATTGTCCGCATGGATGTGTGCATTAGTTCGGGCGCGAGGAATGAAGCCCGACTTCGACTCAGACCCCGATTAGATGTTCAGGAAAGTTTTCTTTACCTTATGCTTTTTAATTGTGTGCCATGGGAACATGCCACAACTTGAAGTGTGAGGTGGGGGATATTTATATGTATGTATATATGTATGTATGTATGTATATATATTAGTTTTTTTTTTGTTAGTTATATGAGTTAGATATAGAAAAAGTTGGAAAAAAATAAAATTTAATGTTTTCGATTTTTTCCGACGATGGATATCATCGACATATTTCTTGAGGGATTAAAGTAGAAGGAAAAAGAACAAAATATTTTTCTTTTGTTTTGTTTTTTATATTTTTTTTATTTTTTTAGGTAGTGTAATGATTCCCCCTTGGTTTTTCTTTGTGCCGCAGCTTTTTTCCAAAGGTTTTTACTTGAATCGGGTGTAGTTAGTTCTTTTTTCTTTTCTTAGGAGTAGAAAATCTTGTGTCATT